CGCACGCCAAAGTTTCCTCAAGTCGACCAAATGATGGCTGTCAGATGCGGCTGGCGCCAACCTCGAAAGTGAAGAGGTTGGGTGGCTGCGGAAGCATCACGGGTGGTCACGTTTGCATCTTCGTTTGCTTCCCTTAACAAGAGGCTTTCGTACGGCTGAAACTGCGGACAGGTTTACGCCTCCGATTCTGGAGTCGGGGCGTGGAAGCTCTCTAGACCTGTCACCCTCAGGCATCTTGGCTATGTTGCTGTTCGGCCAGGCTGGGAAAAGTCGGGGACACAACTCTTGCTTCGATCAGCCATCGCACTCTGACTTTGGATCCTGGCAACATTCCCTCCATCTACAACGGCGCACTTGCGCCCTTTGTCCGATTTAGATCTTGTTTTGCAACGGCGCATTCCAACGCTCGCCAATCTTTGCTTACCCGCACCTCGTTCGAGTTTCCTTCTGTCTTCCCAAGACTTCGGTCGGAGACAGTCTCACAGTTTTTGGTCAATTGTTCTTCGGCCAGAGCAATTGTCACCGGACGTCGTCATGGAGTTCCTCAACGGACTTCCCGAGTACCACTCACCGCCGTCAACATCACCGCCCATGCTTTTACTCCTCAGCACTGCCACCGTCTGTTTATTCCCATGTCACTCAGCCTCCGCTCATACGGTCGGCGTCGGGGGCTGGCGAGCGCCCCAATGGCTCTTTTCGCACGTTCATATTGCCAAGCAACCAGAGGGCCTGGTTGGGATGAGTAAGGCCAAGAGCGGACGCGAAATGAACGACAATAGGGCACGACAAGATGCCTCGACGTTCCAATCCATTTAAGCATACCCTGCTCTCTGGGCGACCGCCATGCGATTCATGCTTGCTCACCTTTTGTGAAGCCCGTGAGGGTGTACCCCCCTGTCGCATTCAAGGGCGGAAAACCACAGACTGGCGCGCGCTTCAGAAACGCCGGGCTCACAACAGTGGCCCGCCCAATCAAACAGATGACGAATACCGGTCAAGATCAGAATGCGTGGCTTCTCATATGAAACACATTGTTTTCACCTTCTGGGAAACAACAATGTTCAGTTTTGTTTGCACAGATACGTGGATGCGGGCAGCCCTCCCGTCAGCCAAAGACCGAAGCCACCAGCCATGCAATCACTATGCTCGCTTACATCACCATGCACCACTTCTCGGCGAACGGCAGTTTTCATGCAAATTTGCCGAACTTTCTTATTCCTGTCAGAACATGCGACGATCCTTTGGACGAGCGAACTAACAAGATTCATTTATGAGATGATTGCTGCCCGCTTTGTGATAGTGCTTTGCCGCAGGGACGGATCGACGGCGGCGCGCACGATACCGAGCCCAGTCCAGCCGGGAACGCCATCCAATCTTAAGCCATGTGTCGCCGCCCCTCGACCATCTAGAATCCCTCGTCTGAGCAAGCGCAGCCGATCATGTCACCGCGGCTTGTTGATCCGGGGGAGCTCAGCCGGGTATCTCTCACGGAACCGAACCGTCACCGACATCAGAGCATCTTCCGTGCCCATCAGTGCCGACTAACCTACCATCAGCTCCTCCTTAGCGTGGAAAAAAGTCTCTCAGCTGGTGTTGCCTCCTCCCCCGTCAGATATAGTCAATGTCCTTGCATAAGTGTGCCCTTATCGCGCCCCTTACAGCATCGTGACCCGGAACGGCGTAGCACGAAAAAAGCTTCGCTCGTGTGCGTGCCGAGCGTCCGGATCGCAGTCTTCGGGACTAGGGCTGACAGACATGGGCCCGCGCGGGTGATGTTTGTGTTCGAATGACGGTTACGTGCGTCTCGCTCTGTTGGACCCGTGTGTCTCCGAATATCTAGGAAGGTGGAAGTCAGCAGTTTCAATAATTTTCCACGAGACGAGGCAAGCTGGGTCGACAATTGTTCGAAGCTGACGCAGGTCGTACTCTTGTATCTCCCCTCATGTCTTGGACGAGAGGCCAATCGTCGTTGACGGAATCATCTGTCAAGCTCCGATGCGTTACACGGCAATATACTTGCTGAGGAATCAGACGGCCGAGGTGTTATTAGTTTTGAAGCTGCGGCCATGAGGAGAGGTTCTCTTAGGCAGCATAATCTATTCCGCTTTGGATTTACCAAGTGCTCATGGAAGTGGTTGAGATCACCGTGTATTTCTAGACTGCGATCTAGGAGAAGCCGATCTCGTCGACTTTCTGTCGTCGTGAGAGTAACCAGACACGAAAACATGAAAGCTACTCTGCTGAACCCATGCTGTTTCTTAGCAGCCGAATGAAAATCGAAGGCTCGCACAGCCACTTACCGTCTCAACCTGGATTCGCCTTCTCTCTCCTTGGTAGTATCAATCCGACAAAGTGTGGCCCATCTCCTTTTCAACCTGCTTCATTAACTCCGCCGCGTCTCGTGCATCGCGGTGGAAGTCCCATGGCTTCAAGTCCATCGTTCCAAGATCCTTCTTACTCAACTGCTCCAGCCTTTCAATCCAGAAACCCCATCGTTGCAGACACATCATTGGGGGGCCGCGGTACAAAGGTCCCGGTGCTTCATAGTCCATCGAATCTTCCTTCGGAGGATCTGTACGGCCGGCATTCTCCAGCGCCCATCTGAGAATGGGTTTCCTCGCATGCCTTAGCCATAGATTGGCGACACCCATTCTGGTGGAAACAACCCAGCGGTCTGAGCTCAACTCCTCCTCGAGATTCGATCTCATGGCATCCAAAGCGTGATGGTACGGTCCAGCAATACCGCTCCCAAGACACCTGGCTGCCAATTCGTTCAGACACTTCCATCTGTGAGATTCCGTTATATCCAAATCCGAACATCCTCTGGTTGGATCTGGTAGCATGTTAGGGACCTCTTGTTCGAAGAAGCGCAAGTATCAGGGGACATACCGCTCAAGTAGGCATCCATGCAGTATGAGAACATGGGCAGATCTTGCCAGAGACGTCGCTCCACCTGCAGGGAAACTTCTAGTCAGTATCCGGGGCGTCAAGAAGAAGTTCTTGGGAGCAATGACTTACCCCCTCAATCTTCACATATCCGTGAGCACGCTTTTGCAGGCATATAAGGATGGCAAACATCTGGTCAATGTAGTAGCCCACAGCGTAGCATTGTCCAAAGCGAACAACATCAATGACAGTCTCCCAAAGCATCCACAGCCAGTCTTGGACTTCCACCTTTTGGTCGATAGGCGGGCAAAGACTGTCAATCTTCTCGGCGGCTCGCTCTGCCGCGTCTGGAACGTCGCGCTGCAAGCTGAGGTCCAATGCGCTGATGATGTCGCGCTGTTGCTCAGAGAAGTCTCGGTTTTGGAATTTCTTGATCTGGTGCACAGTATCTGGGTACAGCCCCACGAAATAGTCTAATCCGTCGTCCGTGTCGTCGTTTGTGTCATCGTTTGTATCATCGTTTGTGTCATTGTATGACAAGTAATATGGAGCAGTGTGGTATGAGGCATCGTCGTCAGATATGTCGGATAGAGCGGCTGCCAAATTTTCAGTGACTACCGTGGAGGCTTCTGTTGCCAGGTCTGGGGCGCCGCAGTGATCCAGCGAAATACCAGGAGCGGCAGTCTCGAGATCTTTGCAGGATTGTGATTTGGGTCTGTCTGGAGATCCGGCTGTGGGGTCGACGTTGATGTTTTTGGAGTAATCGACGCCGAAAGGATTCTCGAGGGTCTCTAGAAAGCCGAAATCTCCATACGACGCTTTGGTGGTGCTGCTTCGGTCGATGGGCACAAGCGCTCCGTGGAAATGATCACTGACTCGAAATCCAGGTGAGGGTGAGGGCCTTGGAGGGAGAGCAATCTGGGCAGCGGAAGGCGGGTTTGCAGAAGCCTTTGGGGTGGACTCAAGACCAGATCGAGTAGGTTGCTGAGATCCATCGTTGGCTTCCGGTTCGATGGTAATGTTAGCGAGCATTTCCCTCAGGCTTGCCTCGTCGCCTGTTACGGACTCAGGCGAGAGCTCGGTCATAGGCTCAGTCGCGGGCTCGATGGCAGGTTTCTCGGGGCTCTCCAGTGCGATCTCTGGCGCGACGTCTGTCGGGGGGTCAATCTCGGAGTTCATCCTGTCGTCGGGAATAAATCTCTTCGTCGTCTTAATCGTATGATCGGCCATCAAGTTTTTATTGTCGCGAGAGGAAGAGGAAGGGAGAATCGAGGGAGAAAATGTGAAGGTGAGGGGGAACGTAGAGAGTCGAGGTGGTTCAGAGAGCGGGTTGGTGAAAGAAAAAAAGGTGATGGAAGGTAGGTGCTGAAATATATATCAGTCTCGATCACACCCGATCTGAAAGCAAGCTGCCCGCCCCGCTTGTTCTTTGTAGATGCGTGTGCCCTTAGACGCGGACGACCTGCCACGTGACCCGTTTGTCAACTCACTTCAGAGATCACCCAGCTTCCCGGTGAATTTAACAAACCAATTAGGCAAAGTCACTTCTTGATATGGAAGCAATGAATGTATTGGTTTGTTTTTTCTTCCCGTTGTGGTTCTCAAGCACCCCAATCTGGGAAGTCGTGGGTTGATGTAGGTCCTCCGGATGAAGCTATTCCGAACTTTGGATATCTGTAGTAAATAGAGCTGCTGCCCTAACGGTGGCTGCTCAGCGAAGGGTGTTGTCATCCTTAAAGGTTCTTACTACCTCATATGTTGATAGTGCGCATGGTTTGCCTCGCTGGCGTCGCCTCACGCGTTGCTACGCGGTTGCTTAGGAGATTGATGCCTTAGAAGGTGGGCTTCGTCTGATGATGTGTCGCGCTAAGGGGGGTATCGCGAGTGAATACAGAGACGAGGCCTCATCGCACCGGAGTGATCGCGCCTCAAGACCTTCACCCTATAAAGATCTGGGAGGACCCCCTTTTTTTCCACATACACAACATCATTACCACTCTCGTGTTCTCTCCCCCTTTCTACTTTTGACGATACCTTCAGACTCCGGCAGCTCTGACCTTCGACTGTCTCTCACTACCATATCTCAAACTACCCCTATCATCCAAGACTTGACCATGTCTCTCAGTCTGTCTCGTCTGCAGACCAGAGCAAGCGGCTCCACCAGCTCGCGCCCGACAACTCCTCCCAATACCCCAATGACATGGGCTTCTGTTGTTTCGCCCAAGGCTGGCCATCCTGTCAAACACTCCGAGAAGTCCTTCGCGAGCCGCGTGGCCCGCCAAAAAGAGGCCGAGATAGAGGTCGAAAAAGCCCCCAGACGGAATTCCCATGACTCTTACGTACGCCCACACCCCTTTTGAACTTCCCACGTCAACGAGATTTACCTAACACGTCTTCAAAGTATTCCGCCCACTGCGAGGATGAGCCTCAATACGACCATCTTAACGCCGCAGACATACGCCGCCAAGTTCGACAGGCGCCTTCGGAGCCTCGCTCCCGCGGAGCTTACCCACATGCGTACTATAACAAGCCTCCCCTTCCCCTGCAGGCAGAGCGTGAGTGGACAACGTTTCCGATGAAACCCAGCCCTTCCAAGGGTGACCGTGGAAACAACTACACCGGCGGCAGGCCCGGCCCCGTTCGCGCGATCTACAACGACGCAGAGCGTGACGTGTTCGATGTGGCGTACCACGACGGCAGGCGTGCCAATCGCGAGCCAAAGAACGGACAGTCTTAGGAGAGCCATCCGTTTTCGCTGGCGACGTACCGTCCCGCCTTCCACAACCCGAAGCCTGGCTTGCAGCGCAAGTAGACGCTGTTGAATCAAAGATGAGCAATGACATCTTTTGAGAATCAGCGAGTTTGCGTGGACACAGCTTCTTTCTTGTTAGGCGCGATATCCCTTGTCCTAGACGATGTTTCTTCCATCGCTAACCCCTTTTTCCAGATTGCAAGCGAGGCGCATTGAGGTGCTTGATTGAGAACATCACAAAGGATTGCAGATTGTATGGCAGGTTCTCGGAGATGCAGACAGGCTACTGATTTATCAAGCCAGACGAGCATGAAGCAAACGCGTGGTGGAGAGCTGGATTTGGATGGATAATGACTTTACGTGGTGGATTGGGGATAATGAGATCTCTTGAGTTGCACTGGTTGTGCCGATCTGACGGTGCCATGGCATCGAAGTTGGGACGTTCTGGCATTGGTTTCGTTGTCCTGCACTTAGCTTGCAGATTGGGCTTCATGGGCAAAAGATACCTACAGCGAAGAAGCTCTCAGTTGTGCTGTTTTCGGAAATCAAGATTGTTCTGCTCATGAGGATAACAATCGTCCTTGTGGAATTCCACAGCATGGTAACACAATGCTTGCTATTTCTACAGAGACCATAGACCCTTGAGTCGCGCTGGATCAATGCCAACTACTGAGCTATGATAACTTTTCTGCAGGCCTGGGGAAAAGTTCATGCTGACAATAGAAGACGCACACGCTTCTCGACGATTCTCATCGTCCTCGCGGCCTGGAGTGCCAGTTTCCGCGTGTCTGCTTCCAATAAAGACGCCTTCCCAAGCATCTCCAGGCGTTCAATCCAGAAGCCCCATCCCTGCAGACACATGGTCGCAGGTCCGCCGTACAATGGGCCTGCTTCCAAATATGATGGCGACGTCCCGGCGACTTCTGCACGACCGTGGTCCTCCAGCGCCCACCGTAGAAGAAACTTGCTTGCGTGCTTGATCCAAAGGCAAGCGACCTGCGTCCTGCAGTCTGCGAACTCCGGCAACGTGTTCATATCCTCCTCAAGGGCTATACGCAATGCTATGATAGCTTGGTCATAGTCACTGGCGAGACCTGAGTGCATCAGTCGAGCCGCAAAGCAGCTGATGTTCTTCCAGCTCTGGACGTCTACGGGGTCAAGCTTTTCTGCTTCGAAATTTGTCGTTGGGGCTGTATTGGAAATGATTCAGAATGATTCTTCGAGATGGCATGATAGGTGGTACTTACCATTTTCCCAGAACTGGTCAAAGGCGGTTGGGAAGACGGGTAGATCTCTCCACACGCGTAGTTTGCTCTGGAAACACAATCAGCTGGTAAACAACGTCAGAACATTGCAGAGGCAACCTACGCCCCAGACGTCCATCATCCCTTTGGCACACTGCACCAACTCCTCCAGGATGTGAACACAACACTCTTGTACTGTGTCTATCGATCCAATGTCTGCAACAATGTCGCATAATGAGCCAGACCATGTATATCCAGTTGTTGGCCCTTCCGGTTTGGTTCAAAGGAGGACAGAGAACGTTGAGCTGGCGTGCGGCCTCTTTTGCGGCTTCTGGAGTGGTGCCGGCAATTCCACGCGCGATCACCTTGAGGACGGTAATATGTCCTTGGGTGATGTCCTTACCATCGAGGACGTAGCTTCGCAGGATCTTTTCCTGGATCTCGAACTCGAGAGTAGCAAGTCTTGCGGCCAGGGTCTCGCTATCGATTTCTTCACCATGAGTCTCGATCTTTGCAATATGTGCAATTGGCAACTGTGTCGTGCTTCTTGCCTCGTCTTTTGTCGCAGGCTCTCCATTTGGCTTCGATGAGCGTTCTGCTCGAACTTTGGCGTCCGCCTGCGCGTCCCGTTCCATCGCTGGTCCTGTTTGATATGGAGTATGTGCTCCCGTCTGAGTATTGATCGAGTGTTGCAACGTAGGCCCAACTCTAACGATTGTCTTAAGTGGATGATTGGGATATTGTGTTCTAGAAAGACGTTCAAAACACGAACACGCGTGTGGGAGTTGGAAGATATCGGCAAAAGGTGGAGCGCCAGAGTATCTGCGACTGGGCGAATGCGGAAAGTGCGAGAGGTGAACGTGAAATGACATACCGAAGTAAGTAAGGAAGGAGGTGGTGATAGGAGGATGAAATCACCCACCCCGCCTGCTGATTCCTCCAGGGAATTAGCAGCCTGATTTTCTATCTATGTGACCCAGTGTGCGAAGCTTTTGATACATGAATCAACTTTTGCTGTTTAGTAATTACAAATAAATAAGGGCAAAACTTTGTAAATGTAAATGAGTCATCAATGACTACCATGACGAACGTGAAGTATCAAGTCAGATAACATCCGTATGATGCGTTTGAATACTTGATGGCCCCCTGAGTCGCCTGTCAGCCAGTACTTCGACCGCGAAAGACTCCCTGTCACATCCGAAGCCCCTCGCTACGAGCATCCCATTATGCCAAGTCCGGGTGAGGGCAGGCAACCCGGCAACTGGAGACCCGGAATCATGCCGAGACCCGTCAGGGCGATCTATAACAAAGACGACCGCACCGTCTTCGAGGCGGGATAGCACGAGCGTGGTACCGGACCAAGTGAACCGCAAGCCGGTGCGATATAGAGTACAACCCCATTTGGGCTTGCCAGGGACCATTCAACAATTAAATACAGGGATGGAGACAAAATTAGGCGCTCTTAACCTTGGTATTGACGATATACAGTATATATCTTTTGGTGTCTCCCGGTGTCTCGCTTGTCAGTCACAAGTTGCGGAACTCGAGAGCGTCAGCCTACCCAGATGAATGGTTGAGAAGCGTAGACAGAGAGAATAATGTTTTCGCTCCCACGGGCCGGATATCACCCTGGATGGATCGTTACATGGCGTTGGCGGTAGATTTGTTACAAAAGATTCACAGCAAAAGTCTCAGTAAATAAAGAAGGCGGGTGTTCCTCGAGCATCTAATCGAGGTGGGTGATCTTTCCCGTGACTTAGTAAGTCATAAGACTCCGTGTCATCTTATTTTACCTAGATAATTGACTGAGCAGAGCGGACGGAGAGAAAGTCTGTTGGACAAGCTGGGAGCTCCTATGGACGGTCTTATTTGGTGGTGGAGTCATCATCTTGGCGCGAGAGATGAGGGTTCTGTGTACTTGTTTGCCACATCTGATCTGTATTTTGGCTACTAGCCGAGGAAAATTGAAACCTCCGCGTGGCGCAGATATGTAATCGTCACAGTATTCATAACCATTCTTCTTAGAGCCGACTATTTGCTGTCCCAAATGTTCCGGCCCAAGCTTGTCAGATGCGATCCAACAATCCAAGCCTTCTTCTTTGTCGGCGGTGAATGCAATGCTTGCAAGCAGCGCAACAATCAGAGACTGCTCTTTGACGATCGCCACCTTTTGCTATTGATGCCTCGCACTATCCAGGTTGCCTATGAAACTGCCAAACTTAGATTAAGAAAGATGATTTATATTTACAAAAGATTCACACAAGTATGGGACAATCTTGAGCCTTGTCTACTGCTCATCATGCTCCTGCGGCCAGCAAGCGGCGACCTCAATCTCGCCGTCCTGGCCCTCCTCAAAGCTGAGCGCCACGGTGCCTCCAAATTGGAGCGGACTGCCCTCCCAAACGACAATGTCTTTGCTCCTCTCAAGGCCGAGAATGTCTTCGACATTGCTTGACACGAGACGGACGGTCTCCTTGGCTCCAAGGTTGGCGTACTTGGCTGCCCAAGAGGCCTCGAGCGCAAGGTCGTGGAGGCGGTAGTCGGCTGGCATGACTAAGAAACGAAATGTGTTAGTCTTTGTATTATTTTCATAGTGACTGTATGAAAGGGAAACCCGGGGGGAAACATACTGTCAGATACAACGGCAATGGCGAAGTAAACACCCGCCTCACTCAAGAGACGGGCGACACTAGGCGTCAGGGGCGGGCCGACGACTGCGTCTCGGTGTCGGAATTCGTCGGGTGCGGGGCGAGTCTGTGTGAGAATGAGAGGAATCTGGGATTTGGCGAGCTCCAGGGCGACCTGAGATGCATGGTTAGTCTGATAATGGGCCAGCGTCGGGGATGATACTTACCAGAGGTGCCTCAGCACCGCCTTGAATAACAATGTTCACGTCGGGGAAGTCCTTCTTGATACTGATGATTTGCTGGATATCCCACTGTGCACATGTCAATTACGATGCACCAAATCTGGCCGTTGGTTGACTTACGTGGTTATTAGCCTTGATAATGAGCGGCAGCTTGCCGTGCGCAACCTCTCCGAAGGTCGTCTCGTTGTGCTTGCCCTGGCCGTCCACCAGAATCTTGCGCAGCTTCTTGACGGCGTTGCTAATGGTTCCCACGCTGGCCTTGGCGCCGTCATCGAGAGTGACATGCAGCGCGACCTCGGGCTTGAAGATTCCACCATCGAGAAGGGTGCGGCCCCGTCGTGTGAGGATGCCGACGCTAACACCGTTGACGAAGCCAGCCTCACTGACGGGAGGAGAGATGGCACGAGTGACGCCACCGAGACGGGCGCGTGCAAATGCCTTGCCCTCCAGCTGAACGCCGTACTTGGCAAAGTCGAGGTTCTCAGGATCGTTGCCGTCGCGCTTGAAGTCGGCGTAGCCGTCACCAGTGGAGGGCTCTGTCGCAATCTCCACCAAGCCGAGGGAGGATGTGATGGCCGTCAGACCTGGGAGGACGTGGCCGTCGGACAGATCCACGGTGGTGACTTCACCTTCGGCCGATGCCTGGGTGACTGCAGAAGCACAATTCTTGGACGTGTTGAGACACGTGATGCCTCCCTTATTGATCACCAAGGTCAGGTTCTCCCCGCTTACATCGTGGAAGGTCGAGGGCATCTGCGGGTGATTCTCAAGGAAGGTCGTCGTGATTCCGTTAATGACGAATGTGGGCTTCTTCTTGGTCTTTGAGCAAAAGGCTTCCTTCGCCTCTGGCTCGAGTTCCATTCGCATCTTGGGAGTGATCGGTGCGGGGGCCTTGGCGGACGCTTCGTTGAAGGTCGTGCCCATGCTCTCTTGAACAATCTTGTGCTTAAGCTGGGGGTTGCCGTCGATGTAGACCTGGAGAGGGGTCGCGCCGATAGAAAGGGGATGGGCATCCCAAACAACCAGATCAGCATCGTATCCAGGACGCGCGTAGCCAATGCGGTAACCCAAGTCGATGGCCTTTGCGGGGATCGAGGTGACAGACTGCAGAGCCTGCTCTTCCGGCAAATGGAACGAATGGCCAACACCGGCCTGATACATGATATACTTGGCGTTCAGCTCCGCCGACGTATGGTCAGATTTGTAGGCGACAGGGACGCCGTGCTTGGCGAGAATTGCACCTGCAGACAGACTGGGAGCGTAGGCTTCCCACTTGTACAGACTGAATTCGGCAAAAGTGGCAATCGTGACGTTACTGCAGATTTGTTAGTTGTTGAGGTCGTTCAGATTACCCGGTGACACTCACTCTCCGTAGTTCTTCAGCATCTCAGGGACTTGCCACGCTTCAATGGCATGATGGAAGGCCCGGACCTTGACACCAAACTCGCCGGTCACTCGCAGCATGGTCTCCAAATCTTCAGGAAGATAGCAGTGGTTCTGCATTGCCACGCGGCCACGAAGCATGCCAGCGGTAGACTCGAGCTTCAATTCGGTGGGGAAGTTGCCCAATTGCTCAATGAAGCGGCGTTTCTCCTCCGTCGAGGCCGTCGACAAGAGCTTGGCAGCCTCGCAGTACTCGTCCTGCTTTTCAACCAGCTCTTTGGCCTTGCCAAATTGCTCACGGAGAATCCAAGCATCGGCCATACGAGTGTGGTCGTACACCCGCTTCGGGTTCTCACCGCAGGCGAGCTTCATATATCGATGGCGCTCTTCGATGGGAATTCCGTGCTCGAGGAGGAGCTCCTCCACTATGTATTCGCCCAGCTCTCCAGAGTTGAGAACATTCTTGATCGCAGTTCCCTCACCGCCCATGACATTGGCGGATCCAGGGAGAAGGAGAGACGAGGTGATGCCACCTGACATGATGATCTCAGTGGCCACATCGTAGGCCTTGGTCGAATCAAGAACGCGCACGAAGGGCGTCAAGGGGCCGTAGGCTTCGTTCACCTCGTTTGTGTCGTCGGTGGCAGACAGGCCCGGCCACATCATGACTGCATGGTGGGAGTGCATGTCAACCAAGCCGGGCGTGACAAAACGACCGTGCACATCGTGCTCGACAGCTCCATCGGAGCTGATTGACTTGGAAGCGGTCGTCGCCACCTCGGTGAAGAGGCCTTTCTCAAACTTGATGTCCATTGGCTCGGAGGCAATCGTCTCGCCGTCGAAGAAGGTCGCGTTGCGAAGCACAACAGGCTTCTGCTGGCCGCGCTCCTTGTTCCATCGCGGGTTCGACGTACGCGACTTCGGGTTGGGGCTTTGAGGGAAGGTCTTGAGAGAGGCGCAGTGTTGCAGCGACTCCTCGAACCGGGTCAGTCGGGCGGACGAAGTCGCGTGTTGGGCGACATGGTCGAGCTTCGTCTCGCGATCGAGGAGAAGGCACAGCCAGGTAATGGCACCGCATAGGAAGACGGCGAACAGCAAGCGGACGGATATCAGGCGTCGGGCGAGGGTGCGACGAGTCCGGACGCGGGGATAGGCGGCAGCTTCATACGGTGGTGGGGTCTGGAAGGAATAGAGATCGGTCTCTTTCGAGGACCGGCCTGCTGATTTAGGCATCGTGTGATGATGCTGGGGGTCGAGAGTGCTCCGGGTGAACGAAGCAATTGGTCACCAAAATGGCACCTCGAAGTAGCAGAAGAAGATCGAGGTATTGTGCAGAGTGGGATGTCACATCATTTTATCAGCGGCAGCCTGGGGTAGCTCTCTTGTGAGCTTCAGATTACGACTTTTCGCATCCATGAACGGGAATCTCGACCAGTTGGGAAGGTCAATTCAGCGTCGCTGGAGCTCCAGGAAAGCTTGGGTGATGAGCGGGGAAGCGACGGTGGTATCTCACGCGATAAGCTTCTGGAGCTGTTAGTCCGGCCATTTCGCGTGGGAGTGATCTCTAACAGGAAACAGCCGTCGCCCCCAAAGCTACTTGTGCTCCACTGAAGCTCTCATCGCCAACCGGGAGCTTCGCTGCAGAGTGTGTGCGACAGGGGAACTTTTGGGGAGCAACATGTTGCGTGTCTCATGCTGGACGTGACGCAACCCAGAGTGAGCGTAGCTGGCGCGTCCAGACTCTGCATCGGCGCGTTGACTCGAAGTGAGCTTTGTCACGACCTGCGTGGGAATGCAGAATAGGCGCTTGGACTGTCAATCGACTTGCGAATCTCTGGCGTGGCTCCGTCCAACGTATTGAATATTCGAAGATGAAAGGCCCCTCACTCCTCACCAAACGACGACGAGTCCTTCTTCAATGCTGGGATTCTCAAAGTTTCCTGCTCCATCGGGAACAAAACCCCGGGCCGCCACCTCGTCCCAACTATTGAATGAAGCCTCGTTGCGCAAGGGAATCTTCAATTCAGCCGTTCCGACACCTGCAATCGACAATTGCCCATAGCCAGGGCGTTGCAGATAACCACCTGCTTTTAGATGAGCGAGGAGCTGCTAGAAACACCGGACGATGATCCCTGGGGGCGGGAAGTACGGGGAAAGGCACACTTGGCACCGGATCTGAGCCAGCACTTCCTCGAGTGGTCTTGGTGCACATCAATGGTTGCCTACTGGTCAGTGACCGAGAGGGAAACACTGTGAAGGGGGGAAATTCGTCTCGTCTTTCCCTGGTTGGCTTGGGCCGCCTCCGTCTCTGGTGGACCAATAGGTCTCCCCCTCCCCAAAACGGCATCTGCCACAGTGGGCCTGTTTTGGCTCTGTTTTGGAGTGTTTGACCCTTGGGAAATCCCAGCTGCAGCGACTGCTAAAGCTGATCTGTTCTGGTCTCTCTGCTGGACATCGACAATTTCTGCGATTCAATGTCTCTTTCCAAATTCCATATTTCTTCTGGTTCCTCCTCACCGCGCCTAGATTGATTTGTTTCCTCGCCTGGCATCCAATCATTTCGTGCTTTTTTCGATCTACCAGAGACAGCCTCTGCACTGTAATGCTCCTTCGCTGGCGTCTATATCCATTGTCTCGTCCGTAATCTTTCTATTTCTCGGCAATCGCCTTCGCCCTCCCTGCATCTTCTTCGCCATCGACACCACAGATATCTCCACCGTTCATCACGATGCCGGAAGCCAAATTGGAAGAAGCAGTTCAGCTGCGCCCTCCCCAGTCTACTGCCCGCCTGGTGGAGCGCATCTGTCAGCTGATATTCGTCTACGCCATCTCCTTCGCCGCCATGTTCATGCTAGTCACCAAGATTTCCCCTGGAAAGTGGCCGCTAAAGGAGCCGTCGCTGGACAAGCCCAGACTCAAGCTAGGGGCCACGAACCGCGACTTTCGCATTGGCATCTTTTCCGATCTGCACTTCGGAGAAGTCGAGTTCGCCTCCTGGGGCATTGAGCAGGACATCAACTCCACTCGCGTCATGAAGAATGTCATGAGGAGCGAGCATCCGGACCTTGTGGTACTGAATGGCGACCTAATCACCGGCGAGGACACCCACAAGGAAAACTCGACAGAGTACATCAATCAGATCGTGCGGCCCATGATAGAGGCTGGCCAGAAATGGACCTCTATTTACGGAAACCACGATTCCAAGCACAACCTGGACCGCGAACAACTCTTCCGCGCCGAGAAGGGCTATGACCTCTGCTACACCACCTCCATGGGCGACAAGCTTCCCGGCATCACCAACTACTACTTGCCCATCTTCGACGGCGACGCCAAGGACCCGATTGCTCTGCTGTGGTTCTTCGATAGTCGCGGCGGCACTACCTACCAGACCGACTCCGACAACATGGACGATATTCCCAATTGGGTCGCACCTGAGACGGCCGAGTGGTTCACCACGACCTACGACGAGCTGAAGGAAAAGCACGGCCGTGTCATCCCTAGCGTGGCCTTCGTGCACATCCCGCCCCACGTTTTCCTCGACGCCCAAAAGTCAAATCTAGACCCAAGCAAGTTTCCGGGTCTGAATGCCGACTCCCCGTTGGCCATTCAGGGCCAGGGCCAAGAGGACGACCCGTTCATCGAGGCGTTGCTCGAGGCCGAGGGCCTCCACAGCATCCACGTCGGTCACGACCACGGCGACTCCTGGTGCTCCACTTGGCCCGGCCACGAAGGCGGACTCGGCGCCGAAGCTCCATTCCTCTGCTTTGCAAAGCACACAGGCTATGGAGGATACGGCGAATGGAACCGCGGCGCTCGGATGCTGAGACTGCTGTTTTCCCAGGGCGATAACCCGCAGATGTCGGTCGAGACCTGGGTCCGCATGGAGGACGATCAGGTCATCACACGTGTCTCCCTTAACGAAACCTACGGCCTGGATTCCTACCCTTCCAACAATGGAGAGTGAGGGATAACGGGCTATCTATAACTACAAAGAAACGCATGAATTACAAAGGGTTGCCTGGACGGATTTATATCGCTGCAGTGGAATATGCAGGATAGGCTATTGAGACCCGGCCAAGTCAACCCAGGAAGCAATAATTCCCACTTCGGCTCGTTTCGGCCGCAATAACTGGTCTTCGAGACAAGACATTCGTGGCACATTCTCCCTCCGAAGGATGCAGGATGCTGTGCGCCCACCCTTCTACACATTCCCTCACTCCTCCCATTCCTCTGGGCTCGCACGGAAATTGCACAGTCCTCGCCCTGCGGTCAGCTGCGGTCAGCACCACACTTTGCGGCCGGCCGACGCCTCGTCGCAAGCTAAAAAAGAACGCTAAACAGGCCGCCAGCCATCTGTGCGATGCAGCCATAATACCATTGTCTTCTTCCTTCGCGCATTTTGTCTTTCTGTTCCTCCCGCCATCGATCTTACCGTTCTCCAACACCTTCTGCGGGAGAGTCTGGGTCGATCATTATGGACAGAAACACAACATCCAGTGAGGGACCACCGCCGAGGTACACGACTTGCAAGTCATTCGAAATGTCTCGCCAACCTCTTCAACATGCACGACGACCAGTTTACATCCTAATTGTATACTTACTTCTCCTACTTGGACCCTGGATATGCATCTGCGTCGTCAACCAGCGAACAACGTCCGATCCCTGGGGCATCCTCATGCGGGATGATTTCGACAAGTTCAGCCGATGGATGCGCGTGGCGCCGTTTCTGAGTGCAGTGACGGCTGTCATTGCGCTGCCATGCGTTGCGGCTCTTCTGGCCCACGGTGCAGTGGTGTTCTCTCAACGACGATCTCATCGGCAAGCCCTCAGCCTCCGACAACTGTTCGCTCTTTCCGACATCCAATGGACGGCGGTTTTCTCCAAAGGACAGACATCATCTTACCTGATGATGGCTACTGGATTGCTCCTCCTGGGTAAGCTTTATGGCGACTGATTGTGATCAATTGGCTGACTCTATCCAAGTTGCGGCACAGTTGCCTCTTCAATCACTGCTGATGCCGATGTCCGCTCGTATGGTTTACCCGTGCGACAGCTCTCGCCATCTGACCAAATGGGATCGCACGTGTGATGGCGAAAGGTATCGGGCAGAAAGGGTCGGCATGGAGCCTGAGCCGGCTTTACTGAGGGTTTCCACCGACTTCCCCAACATCATCAGTCCAGTGAGATCCAAGCTGGCCAGCATCACGTCAGCTGACGTCCAGGAGAATCTGTGGCGCGACGGGAACACTGACAGAAGCTTTGTGACTGGTTCAGACCACAAGTACAACGACGCTTTCTGGGTTTCATCTGTGCCCGCAGGTACGACAACGGGACCGCTCAGGCAACACTCGATGAGATTTAACTCAACTGCCGACTGCCAAGTTGCGACTCGTGAAGACGTTCCTTCGGACTGTGTCGGCTACTCAACCACTCTCGAAGGGTTCGGCGTCGCCATTAAGGTCTGCATGCCTGATGACTCCAAGAACCCCGAAGTTGAGAGAGCGCTGCTTCCCCCGCGTCGACGTCAAGACATTGACGAAGTCGTTTTCATCGATGCGCAAATCAGCCTTGAGGCATCGCAGGCCTCTGATTTCGTCTCAGACCCAGCGGAGAATGTCACCCTGAAGTGCACGGCCAAAACAACCCGTGCATTTTTCGAGCTTGGTAACTTCTACACCAATCTCAACCAGTCAGGCATTGTCGACGAGTGGCCCTCGGACGAGGTGATGAAGGCCCAGTACCACGATTACGATTGGGCGGGTAACCTCATCACCAGCGAGTGAGTTCAAACATGCCAAAATTTGAGTCTGATACTAACACTCTGCAGGTCGGATCAAGAGTGGGATCGCGACATATTCGGGGGATGGACTTCGTCTCAGGGCCCGCTGAGGACAACTGTAGAGGCCCTCTTCGGCGCCGAATCGTACCCACAAGCCGTACTCGTCTTGCTCAGCCAAACTTTTCCCGATGGCCTAATGCCTGGCAACCTCACTTTGACTGACGACTCAGTCCGCGATGCTACGAAGAAGGGTTGCGCCTTGCCCGCACCTCTCCATGGCTGGCAAATGCCTTACAACTCCAAAAACGACGAATTCGACACATGGTACCCTTCAATCTATAACGGATGCACTCTAAAGAAGCTTCCCAAGTCGCTGTTCAGGATCGCGCAGGGCCTGCGTCATTTGACTGTGGCCCAAAGCACTCTCGGGGTCGGTATGTACCTGTCGAATGCTGCCGTTCTACAGGATGCAGCTTCAAACGATGCGGCAAGGACAATCTACAACCTCACCGGCACGGCTTTCGTTGCACCAAAATACAGCCTCGAGGCCACAGTCATGCTCAGTGCGCTCATTGCCCTCCAAGCAATCTGTCTCGCCCTGCTCGTCTGGTACATCTGCACCCTGCCTACATGGACGAACACGCTCGATTCGTTTGCGATGTTCAGAGTGGGCTCGCACCTGAAGGACTCTGTCAACCTGCCTCCTGTGGGGCGTGTCGACAAGGACGATATGCACAAGTTCAACGAAATCGATGGTTTAGTCGGAGTCGTCCCTGGGCCGGGCATCACGATGGACGACGATCTCGAGATGGCGACCATGACATCGTCCAATCATCTGATCCGAAGTGCATCTTCGGCGCAGCAGTATGAGATAATCAGACCCTCATCGCCGGCCAGCTCAGTCAGTTCAGCCTCGTCCGTGGATATGCCAGCCGTGCCGCCACAAGCGCGCCAGGTCCCTGATGGAACTTACCCGGGTGGCGTACCCGGGATGTCGGCCGCTGACTTGAGCTCCTACCTTCAGGGAGGAGGTCTTGCCGCGCCAGTGTCCCCAGTCTCATCCGTGGCGTCGTCTGTGAGGAGTGCGTCCCCGCCGCCGCCGTATCTGCCGACGAACTCGCCGAACAGGGAGCAACGTACGAGGCTGCCGTATGAACTTGGCTTAGGAGCCCCGGGACTGATCACGAAAGCACTGTGGAGCAGGAACCAGCCGAAATAGTCGGCTTTGGGAGTAGCATTGGGCCGTCGCTTATCACAGCTAGCAAGCCTTGGAGTTAACATTCATTTATGTCGAATTAGAACTGATACCCAAAAAATAACAAACCTCACATTATCTACATTGTCGACACATTTCGTTCGAGAAGTGATGCTTATGTCGCTTAATGGCCTTCCACGGTGTTCCAGAGCACAACCCTTCGTGTCGAGGGGAGACCATCGCCATCATTCGAAGTCTCCAACAGCGACAGAAATACATCGTCGCTCCAAATCTAGTTTGATCAACGCATCCATGGTATTCAGCCTCTTCGACGCCCACCAAGACTCCTTAGATCCCAGCAGCAGCCTCGACGTTCGATAAAAGTGGTACAGCACCAGCAGTGCCCTCGTGTCACTACTGACAACCATGTCCAGGAAGATGCCGACGCAGAAGAGCGGGAATGAGAAGATGTACCGCTCAAGATCGGCTCTTTGCGGCGGGGAGGGGTTGGTCTCTCTGTACCTCCAGAGCGCGAGGATGACGGAGAGACGCGTGACGATGGCGTGGTATGCCTCGCGCTCTTTTGTCGCCTGGGTAGAGATCTCTACTTGACTAGTTGATGAATCATCATACCGTCTCATAAAATCTGCTACTATGCCTTCACAGTCCATGCTCTGGCTCGCGACGATATTTTCCAGAGCACTGCATTGAGATATCGAGGACATGTTTGCGAAAATACTGTCCGGGCCTTGGGCCCTTGTGCTGGACAGAAATACCCTCACGCCGGAGCTAAGGAGGAATAGCTGGTCACCCTTGAGGTCCAATTGACGATCATCAGCTGGCTTCCCCCCCTCTTCCAGGAAGTCCAAGTTGCACCACGTGAGGTAGTGGATCAACATGGCCGTGAAAAACAGCGGGTTATGCTTCTCACGGCCATCGTCCTGGTTGAGGGCGGCACTAAAGCCAGCACAGCTGCGAGACAGGAGTGCCAGGGCAGCTTCATCGTATACCGACTCATCTGGGCGCAGGACACTAAGGTGTCGCGCTGAGGTGGCCAGCATGGCGGTCATCAGGTACTCTTCCTGCCATACTCGTGAGTCAACTTTCCGTGCTTCTCAAGGACAGCAAGGAATGCCCACCTTGAAAGCGAGGAACGTCGCCGGGCCCCATACTTCAGCAAAGCAGAGAGTAGGAATCGTGACGTGCTGGAAGTGATGGAAGAGCTCCAGGTGGACAAGGTTTACCGGCCCAGAGAGGTCTGGCGGTCGGGAGGATGCGGGTGAGGCGTCCTTTTCAGGGGAAGCGGAGGATTTGTGGGGTGGATCGCATGTCTCGTTTCTTCTGATGCAGTTCGAGCAGGGTGTTTGCTCATCGCACTTGGGCTTCGTCAGAAGCCTCACCGAAGCACCAGGAGGGAACGCACCTTGACTTTCCGCTTCTTGCAGGCGCCGCAGCCGCCGCGGCTCTTCTTGTGCGCCCTCATCTTCTTCGGCTCGTTGTGTGTCGGATCAATGAACCGCAGAGAAAGACCGGATTCTGTATCTGTACCCTGAGATCTCGGGTCTGACATCGTGTGATCGATCACCTTGAGCAGTAGGGGATGACTCTATGGAATGTTGGTGTAGCTGCTGGTTCAAAGGCTCAGGGTTGAACTTTCATAGATTGAAGAGTTACTGTATCTCGACAGGTACTGCTCGATTTGTAAGATTGCGGTTCCAAGTTTTTCTTTGGGCACCATCAAGGACAGGTTCGATGTGAACTCGAAGGGGTGTTGTCAAATACTGAGATGCCTGGGGTAAGCCCGGTTGCCTAACTGGGAATGTGCGGGGGTGGCTGCAGTCCGAATAGAGTTTAGCTCGAGGGTACCTGGATACCAGACCAGCGGTGCCAGGGGAACCGGCGTCTTCATTCGCCAGCGTGTAAGTGAAGTAAACTTGAGGCGGTTGCGAACTTTCTGCGGGCTTGCATAGCACATTGACACTCTGCGACTGGGATACGACTCCATCAAGCAAATTCTTGACAAAACGAGTAAGACTTCGGGTTTGGAGGAAGAATTGTGTTCCCATGACGTCATTTACGGGTCCTACCTCTCTGGAAAGACACTCTTTTTATTTCTCTCGTGAGAAACAACCGCATAATCCACAGTTGATCAAGTCAGGAGGGTACATATATGTCCTGTCACGCCATTTTCGAACACAAATTCCGCTTGTTTGAACGAAGACCATAGCAGGGACCATGGCGCCGCCAACTACAACGAGCAAGGACGACAACGACAGCAAGCATAAAGACTACCGATCAGGAAGTCAATTAAGAGCAGTAAAAGTTTTGTGACCTCTTCATACACTGAAAATCCTCCCAGAAACCCTCCGGTGGAGGGAGTTCCCCTTGATAGTATAGGCATCTAACATTATCCAGACTAACACACCGACAAGTCCTCATGGCCAGCCAAAATCTCAATGAAAGTGACGGTGAATATCACCAAATGCCTTTTTTGTTGTTTCACGCTCACTCACGATCCGGCCAACTAACCAGGCGTTCGTTTCTTGGTACCGCCTTCACTCTGTCCTTCCCCCGGAGACATGGTTTTCCACCTCTTTAGCCATCGACCTACCAGGTAACAAGCAATGATAATGGAGCCTTGAATTTAGACTTTCCTGTACCTGAAATCAGGGTTACGGGTACCTGGCATGAAAGATGCCGGTTCCTGAAAAGATGTTTGAGAGACCTCTGGCAATGGAGGCTTGAATTTAGACTTTCCTGTGCCTGAAAACAAGGTTACGGGTTCCTGACATGAAAGATGCGGGTTCCTGAAAAGGTGGTCCATGTTTGAGAGACCTCTCCGGTACCTGAATGCGAGAAATCTGACCCTTAAGCTCTCACGATTCCTTCGATGAATACCTATAAAACCCCAATCTCTCTCATGGTCTGTTCCTCCTGACATCTTTCTTTCTCTCCTCATCATAACTTGATTTCTATTTCGCTTCCAGCAGATACAACTCTCGTTACACACAACTCTCACCAGATACAACCTTCGTTACACACATCTCTCACCATACACAACCTTCTTCACATACATACACCGTTTTTACCCTGTTTGTCTCGAAGTGGTCAGTATGACCTCTAGCGAAGTATCTCGAGAGTTTTCTCAGCAGAAGCGGGAGGTGGCCTCCAGAAGCCCCCGTTTCTATGTTCAATTCGACTATGGTCTGCCTATTCGATGCAAGCCTACGCCCACCCGCTTCCACGGCGACCTTTGGGTTGAGCCTCGTGACCGGGCCATGGCAGCCATTCCTGAACACGACCAGCCCACACCCCGCGCTCTCAATCTCTTCACGGATGCCTCGTTTCCTGGCAAAGAGTCGTGGGGAAGTGGTCCCAGCGGTCACTCAACACTGGACAACCCCGCGGGAGCCACCGTTACTTGGCAACCCCGCCCCGGTCTCAGCCCCGACTGGACAGCCAACACGTACAGGCTCATCAAGTGCCCCGACTTCCTGGTGGCAGAGCTGTACGCCTTGGCTCTCGGGCTCGAGACCGCCCTCTACCTGTCCCGCGCGGTCCCCGACCTTCGACAAGTGAACATCTTCACGGATTGCAAGGATGCGATCCGTTCACTCATGAGGGCCGACGCGTCGGACAATGATCCCTTGGTCCACAGAGCCGTTGCGGCATCCGCCAAATTAGAGGCCAAGGGTATCAGAACCGCAGTCCGATGGTGCCCGGGCCATGTGGGCGTTGAAGGCAACGAGAGAGCAGACCAGCTCGCCAAAGCAGTTCGCCGCTGCTCGACGAGGAAGGGGGCCGTCCCGACTGAGATGCCAGACAAGATGAAGGAGTACATGGTCACCGTTAACGACTACGAACTCCGCTCCTTCAATGACCGGTCCCCTTTGCCAAGCCGTTCGCCCAGTCCTCAGCCCGCACCATCGTTCTCTCAGGGACCCATGACAGGGTCTTACGATAAACATGGGCTGTGGGTTCCTTCCTCCGTCCTGACACCAATTAACCCAGGACACCCAAGCCCCTTCAGACCGCCCACGCCGCCTGGTTTGGACTTGTTTACCGCATACCAGGCGGCAATGAGTCTGACATGGCCCCAGGCCTACTATCAGCAGCCCCCCGTGCAGACTCATGGGCTAACATACCCTCCTGGATTGATGCTCCAGGCCGGTGCCATGGTCTACGCATAGACCTGAAAGAAGCAGCGTCACCAAACCTGCTAAGTCGGCTGAGTTCCCTGCCAAAGAACGCGAGTCCAACTCTGGAGAGGACTGGACCGGTATTGACGATAATGCCATTCCAGCATCCCACCCGAAAATAAAATATCAGACAACACCTCTTCGGACACCTCTTCGGGCATCAGCCGCACATTAGGGGACCTGCACTCTTCGAACACTTTCTCGACCTTGCTGCAAACGCCTTTGCTGCCCTCGCCTGGCTGCAAGCAAGTTTACCAGCCTACCCCCTAGACCAAAGGCCGTATGGGCTCACCCAAGACATGCCCTGATTATCTGCCGCGTGTCTGCACCTCTTGTGCCAACCACCACGACTGAGACTCCTCGTCTCGTTCGCTTCTCTGGCAGCCGCTCTCCTTCACACCAAGTCGTTGGCCAGTGCCAGCCTCCTTCCAGCCAGCTATGGAGGACATGGTTCTACACAGGGCCTTTCCTACGACTTACATGCCGCCAGCGGCGCTTCAGCGATCAGGCCTCCTCAGGTCGATAAATGGAGACTACCTCGCACTTGCGGAGCCACCATCCTGAAACATCCAGCAGTCTACCATACCGACAGGATAACAACCACACCAGGTCGTAACACTCCCGGGATCACTTTGATCTTGGAATGCGTTGCCGCCTAAACATATACTGTCGGTAGAACTCCTCTCAAACAGACGCAAGGCCTTTGTGCTCCCATGATCGCTTCAAACAACATACTCGTGGTAGACCAACACTACAGTCACCACCTCATCCTCGAATGCGTCGCCTACCTAAGCAAGGTCGTGACGCTGCCATAATCGCTCACAACACAAACATTGTAGTAGACCAATGCTACAATAACCGCCTCATCCTTGAATGCCCAGCCGCCTCATCAAGGCCGTTGCGCTACTCGGTTCACTTATAACAACAACACAAACCTCGTGGTAGACCGATATGCCACTCATCCTAGAGTGCGTCGCCTGCCTAAGCAGGGCCGCGGCACTACCAGGATCGCTTTCAGCACAAACATCATTGGCGACAATGCCATCCCAAGCATCGAACAAGACAATTCTTGTGTTACGACACAGACTACGCAGCACTCGACAGGAAGGACTCTTATGACTCCACCAACCGTGACGACTAGAGTCACACAACCGGCTGAACGCCACTTTTGAACAACACCCAGCGACTGAGTTTAGCGATTGCCTTTGAATTACCTGTTTACCAACCAACCAAAAACCAAAAACCCCCCCAAAAAAAAAAGGAAAAAAAAAAAAAAAAAANAAAAAAAAAAAAAAAAAGGGTCTGCGTGGTTTGTTATTTTATTTCATTTACATCGTGGTGCAGTCAAAGAGTGCAGGAAAGGGAAGGAAATGGAAGGGGAGAAAGGAAGGGAACGATAGGGAAGGAAGGGAGGGAACGGAGGAAGTGCTGCGGTTCTGGTTGTTTGCTTTCGATGCTTACACATTTTGATTGCTTCGTACATACTTCTGAACAGGCATATAGAGAAAGCACTGCTAAGCGGTGCTAGGAATTGCCTGTAAACAAGGCATGGGTTTTGACCCGAGAAGGGTTTCCCATGACTTGGGGTAATATTATCGTACAATAGCAACCTCAAGGTTGAATAATCACATATAACATCAATGATCCCTCTTCTCTGGCGTGACAACCTCTTGATCGTGACTTGCATTGACGAGACGCTCCGTCGCCGTGACTGTCTTATGGAACCTCCAGGGCTTGATGCCGCGCTCGAATAGCTCGTCCAACTCCGCAGCGGAGCGCCTGTTGTGATAGTGTCAGTATGTTTCTTTAATGATTTAGGCGGGAGGCCGTACCCCTTGGTCTCGGGAATCAGGAACCACATGGCTACCACGAACGGTAGTCCCACGCCGGTGTAGAACCAGGCCGTCTTTAGCTCCCAATTCCACTGGTTTCCGTCCACCATGTACGGTGTCAACACATTCATGACCACACCCGCAACACACGTCGACGCAGCTCCGAACCCTGCCGTGTAAGGCCGAAGCCTTTGCGAAGAGATCTCGCCGATGAAGCCCCAGCCGGTAGCTCCATTCGCCGTCATTCCGATATCTAGTCCAACATCATCAGCATTCACCCGTTCAAAGGTCGAGTGCCAACTCACTCCATAGACACGCGAAGAAGACCAACAAGACAAAAGTCGGCCCTCGTCTCGGCACAACCCCGAGAATCCCAATAGCCATACACGCAGCCCACGACAATGTCGACCCGCTGCATGAAATCCACCTTCGCCCGACCTTGTCCGCAATCAGTATAAACACCAGTCCGCTCACGATGTTGATCCCGGACGTGATGCACGTCGCCTGGAACGGGTCCTTGATGCCCGCCTGCTTGAAGAAGTAGCTTGCAAAAGTTGAGAACAGCGTCAGCCCCACGAACTGCTGCGTCATGAGCGTCCACAGCGCCGTCACCGTCCGCTTGCCGTCGATGCCCTTGAAGATGGCGTACCACTCGACATTAGCCTGCGACCGCGCGACCTCCAACTCGTGGTCGACGGCGATGACGAGCAGCTGCAGCTGCTGCTCGACGTCGTAGTCCTCGACGCCGCGGTAAAGCCAGCGCAGCGACTTGCGGGCGGCGTCGAGCTTGCCGCGGGTGACGCACCAGGCGGGCGACTCCGGGACGAGGACGTAGATGATGATCATGAGGCCGATCTGGCTCCACTGCGTGTAGATGGGCGTCTTCCAGTCCTCTGGGGCGTACTGCGACATAACCTGCAGCGCGACGGGTGCGAAGAACTGTCCGAGGGCGAACCAAAAGTTGTAGGCCAGCAGCAGGCCGCCGCGGATTCTCGTTGGGGCGACTTCGGCGATGTAGGTCGGGACGGTGGACTGGAGGCAGCCCACGCCGACGCCCGCGAGCAGTTTGGCAACCAGCCATACGGGCCAGGTCCGGGCTACTGACTCACAGAGGATACTCATGGAGAGGACGAACCAGTACCAATACATGGCGCCCTTGCGGCCGAAGCGGTCGGAGAGGAAGGGGACAGTCGTCATGCCGATGATTTGGCCGACGGACATTATGGAAGACCAGGCGCTGAGGATGGGTGCGGCGAGGTTGGGTTCGCCGCGCGAGGTGGTTTCCGTTGCGAACTGGTTGATGAAGCCTGGGTTGGCGATGATGTTGCCGTTGATGCTACGTTATTGTTAGTGTCATGTGGATGTCTCCTTGTGAAACCCGGTTTCTCAGAAGATGGAAAGGCAGAACACTCACCCAATCTGATAACCATCTGTCGCCGCGCTGAAGGCAACAGCAAAACAAGTAGCGGAGCATACTTTGAAGGCCTTGAAAGTCTCCCACAACGTCAAGGTCTCGTAACCCGACACGCCCTGGCCCTTGGCGGCGGCATCGAGGGTCACGTCCTTGGGGTTGTCATGTTGATTCTCGAGTCCGACGTCGTCGGCGTGCTCAAGGGCAATTTCCGGCTTCTGGTCCTCTGTTTTCGTCATGCTTGAGATTGTCAAAGAACTTCGCTCTTGCCAGTAGGACTACAACGGCCGACATCCTGAGATGAACCGTTATATATCTCGCAATGCCAAAGACATGGGACGCAGACGGCAGAGCGGATAAAGCCAGCACCTCGTTCGTCTACATGTCATCCAAGACCGCTAGGTCCCGGTGGGCTGGGCTGTGTCATTGCGCCAAGCATCTTGGGTCTAAATTGTCCACAATGATACACCGAGGACAAGGAGGGCGTATCCAACAATCTGGGGTAAGAGTCTGGGGAAGTGGCAGTTTGATGGGGAGCATCAACTCCACGACGCCCGTTCGGTTTGCATTACCCCGGAATATGCCCCAGATTCCCAAGGAAGCTGTGATCGGTAGTTCGAGCCAAGAGGGCGAGTCGTGAGGGGAACCCCGCATCAACAGCATCGCTACTCCAACTTGGAAGTTTTAAACATCGTTTTTTACTCCACTCTTTGGCTTGAAAAGGATATCCTACGCTCAAGGTTTGAGACGGTTGGTCAGTTGGTACGGCTGGTTGACTTGGAAGGTCCAACGCAAGTTCCGACTGGACATGGGGTTGTTCGACCCAGAACCTCGGTTGTCAAGAATGAGAACCAAGGCTAGGAAATCATGGTCCCGGACCCTTTACACAGGAATCTGCTCACTTATTATTTGATGTATTGGGACAGAACAATCGCATTCGCATTGAAATGTCTGAAATGTGAAATCAGCGCGGCCTCGACTTGATCAGTTAACAGCCTTCGTTCTTCTGGCAATGTCGAAGATGCTTGGACCCAGGCTGCGTCCACTCTACTAACACGCTATTCAGTCTGTACTAGTCGTCGTACGCGTCAACGAGCATTCACTTTTCAGAGACTCGATGAGATACCAGGAACTTTGCGATATGAACTTGGAAATGTTTTCGATTTCTCACACCAACGCCTGCACTTGCTCTCGTCGTCATCGACCCTACTCGACTCGCCTCTTGTTTCTTCTCCGTTTTATATGTCTTCGTCGCCCGAGACGCTACACGGGACTAAAGGACAACGACTTCCCGTTCCAGTAGCACGGCGTCCATCATCAACCAGAATTCGCATGATGCAACCAATCGTACATGATTTATACAAGACAACTCCACGCACGCCATCTCTGAATTTTTGACCTTTCGGACCACTGCTTCGTCATCTTACAAGTACTTCTTGGGCATCGAGTTCTTTCTTCTCTTGTAAAGGACGTAGCCGACAGCGAGAACGACCTGAGACCCAACAATGACGAGGATAAGCTTGCCGTGGCCAGGAGCGGCGTTGACAATGTTCGAGGACAGGGTGGAGTGATGTTCGCTCATGTAGCCCTTGAGAGAGTGCTCCGTGTTCTTCATCTGCAGGTTGAGATCGGTGCGCATGGCGCGGATCTCGCGCTCGAGGGCGTTGATGCGGTCCTCAATGCTGTAAACCTTCTCGATCTTGCGCAGCTCCGTGCGGAGCGAGTCGAGGATTTGCGAGGTCTCCGCGTGGCGGTTCTCGGCGTGCTGGTTGTACTGGTTGACAGAACGGTAAATGGTGCCGATCTGGTGGTTCACCGACTGAAGACGGTTGTGCAAATCGGCGAACTGCGCCTTGGACGAGGTGATCACGTCGGCAGGGCTGTCGGGGATGGCGTTGAGGTCGATGGGGTCCTCGTTGCCGCTGCGGGGGTTGTTCGGCTGGCCCTGGTTGGCCTTCTGCTCGTGGGCTTGCTGTTGCTGTTGCTGCTGCTGTTGCTGCTGCTGTTGGTGGCCTTGGTTTTGCTGCTCGCCGGCGTGAAGCGAGTCGGACATGACAACCATCTTGAAAATCTCGAAAGAGTCCGGGTTGTCGGCGCTAGCGGCGGTGATACCGAAGGAGTAGCCGGGAGGGATCTTGACCTTGTCGGTTTCGAAGCAAAGGCGTCCGTCGATCTCGACCTTGAAGACGCTGGAGGTCTGACGCAGCTTAATCTGGCTGGGGCGGCCAAGGTTGCGGTAGTGGTACTGGCAGTGACCGAAAGCAAGGCCGCTAATATCACTCTGGGCCTTGTAGTCGGTCGAGCGGTCGTTCAAGAAGCCGCGAACCATGCCACCAGTACCGCCGTGACCGTCGACGACAAGCACGAGACCGTCGAAGCGGCCTGCAGTGTATGCTGAGCTCATGCCAACGTCGTTGGAACCGCCACTGGTGAGCCAGATGTTAAGGTTTCCGCCGGCGCGCTCGCCGCCATTGGCACGGAAGTCGATGTCGGCGATCCAGTTGCTGTGCATCACCTTCTGGGTGCTCCAGATGGAGCCGCGCTGGTTCCCGGGGGCGACGGGGGTGAGGATGATCTTGTTGGAGAGGATTTCGGGCTGGTTTGGTTGTCCCTGGAGGACAAAGTTGGGAACGTGGCCATCGTTGTTGGGCGATATGCTGTTATACGTCGTGTTTAGTTGGAGCTTTTGGGGATCGGCCATATGTGGGCGCGCTGGAAAGATGCGGCTAGGGACCTTCTTACCTGCCAGTGTAGCCAAAGCTGAGCTCATTGATGAGGTACTGAGCTTGTGTCAAGCTCGCACCGAGGAGAAAAGCGAGCGTCGAGCTCAGAGGAGCTTGCGACACACGCATTGCGACTGAGGGTGAGGTGGCACGCGGGAGCTATGTGAGGTGGTGGAAATGGTGGGAAGAGGAGAGAGGGCGTGGATGGGTATCAAAGAGTTGGAATAACGAAGCCGGCCGTACGCCCACAGGGTCGATCAATTGCGTATTAAATCACAGAAGCAAGCTCCTGAAAAAGATGCAGAATTGAAGAGAAAATACGAAATGCAGAAGACGCGGGATCCAAACATGCGTGGGAATGGCGAAGATGGTTAGAGGGCCGCCAAGTTGAGAAACTCGACGCAGGGGTCGTTGGTGGTGGTGCGGTGTCTGTGGGTTGAGGACAGGTTGGCACAAAAAAGTGTCAAAGACTCGCTGTGAAGCTCCTGTGCTGCTGTGGATGGACCACACTGCCCCTTCTGGAAGGCTGTTTGTCGGCGTTGGCTTCCGAAAAGCGGACTGGGCTAAGGAGTAAATGAAAATCAGCTTGAATGGAGAGCGCGGCAGGCCAAATGTTCTTTATGCGCCTCCGGCTTTGCTGGTTTAGTCTAGAAATGTCTAGTCTCCCTCAGGAGGTCGTGGGGTCTCGTGACGATGGATTCTAGAGATGAAGCTTGGGTACTGTTCCGCTGTCTAAGACGGAGCATGAGCCTTTACTGGAGACTGTCACGAAATAGAAGGGACCCTGGTCCACCACCTCCACGTCGTAGGTAGACATGGCCCGAGCTGTGTCGATTGGGCTCGCTCGGTTCCTTGCATTAAGGTGAAGACAACTGTGGCGTGGAGCTCTCCATCTGTGGCTTGAAAAGCACCAGCCACATCCACGTCTGAAGCTTCTCTGACCCACTTCTAGAAGTCGGGGCTGGTTTCACCGCGATTTCTGCACGGACCCCAAAACGGACCCCTGTCCATCGCTTAGTCCACGCCTTCTCCAAAATGGCAAGCTGCAGCTTTGAGAGCAGGACCCCTGACGAAAGCGAAGGTGGCCTGTGATTTTCCTCCCACCTGCCGGGCAGCTTCAGCTCTGTCACCACGCCAAATTGAAGCTCTCACGGCACCACCCTGTTCAATGCGGACAACCTGCTGATCAGCCCTTGGAACGCGCCACAATGGCTGAATCATACCCAACCCTCTCCCAATGCGCGCTTGTCGCCGGCGCTCTGAAGGTCCTCCTCTTCCCGGCCTAGTAAGTGGACCGCCGACCGACCGACACCTCCGAGAAGCCACCCTCGCTGACCTGCCGCGAAGCAAATCCACCGACTTCGAAGTCCACCGGAACTGGCTCGCCATCACAAACAGCCTGCCTTTGTCCAAGTGGTACTACGAGAAGACCTCGGAATGGACCCTCGACTACCCTCCCTTCTTCGCCTACTTCGAGTGGGTCATGTCCCAGGTCGCGAAGCTCGTCGACCCGGCCATGCTCAAGGTCTACAACTTGGAATACGATAGCTGGCAGACGGTATACTTCCAGAGATGGACTGTCATTATTTCGGAACTGGTCTTAGTCTATGCGCTGCAGCGGTAAGTGCACCTACTTGTCCTTCAAGATGGGAACAACAGCTTATATGACATGTTACTAGATTCATCGAGACCGCGACGGGAGGAACGAGACGAGCTGCCCAGGCTGCTGCCATCTCAATTCTACTTTCCCCTGGTCTTTTGATCATTGACCACATCCACTTCCAGTACAACGGCGCCATGTACGGTGTGCTCATCCTATCCCTCGTTCTGGCGAGATCCAAGTCGGGCTTGCTGGGCAGCGGACTGGTGTTTGCTGCGTTGTTGTGCATGAAGCACATCTATCTGTACCTCGCCCCGGCCTACTTTGTCTTCCTTCTCCGTGCCTACTGCTTGTCGCCCAAGTCCATGTTCAGAATCCAGTTCTTCAACTGCATCAAGCTGGGTGGCGGTATTGCGGCCATCTTTGGTGCCGCATTTGGACCATTTGCTGCTCTGAATCAGATACCGCAGATGATGAGCCGCCTTTTCCCGTTCTCACGTGGTCTTTGCCATGCCTATTGGGCCCCCAATGTATGGGCTCTGTACTCCTTCGCGGACCGCGTCCTCATTTATGGTAGGTCATCCACTTACCCATGACTATTCCACAGTAGCATGCTAATAGAGTTTCAGTGGCACCCAGGCTCAATCTTCCCGTCAAGGCCGAAGCCATCAACAGTGTCACCAGAGGACTCGTGGGTGACACTGCCTTTGCGGTGCTGCCAGAAATCAGCCCACGTACTTGCTTCGCTCTCACGCTCTTCTTCCAGGTGCTGCCTCTGATCAAGCTCTTCTTCCAGGCCCAGACACCCTTGCCCTGGGACAGCTTTATTGGAGCGGTGACTTTGTGCGGCTACGCTTCATTCCTCTTCGGATGGCATGTGCACGAGAAGGCCATTCTTCTCGTCATCATTCCCTTTAGCCTTATTGCGCTCAAGGATCGCCGCTACCTCAGTGCATTCCGACCATTGGCTGTCGCTGGGCACGTCTCTCTCTTCCCCCTGCTGTTCACGTCGGCGGAATTCCCAATCAAGACGGTTTACACCATCTTCTGGCTGATTCTGTTCCTCCTGACCTTTGACCGATTGGCGCCGGCTTCCAGAAAGGCCAGGTTCTTCTTGCTCGATCGGTTCAGCACGCTGTATATCGCAGTCAGCATCCCGTTGATTCTGTACTGCTCACTGCTGCACCAGATAGTGTTTGGGAAGCGGTATGAATTCCTTCCGCTAATGTTCACGAGCTCGTACTGCGCAGTGGGGGTCGTCGGCAGTTGGCTCGGGTTCATGGTGGTTTACTTCACGTCATAAAAGGAGTGGAAAATCGCTTTCTAAGCGATGGGTTGTTCATATTAATCGTGTATAAAAGACGAAATAGACGAAAATAAGACAAAGACTGTGCCCTTGGGCGAAACTTTTACATGCCAGTGATGACGGCCAGTTGCCGGAAGTCTAAAAGAGACGCTTCGTCCCGTGGGGGCCTGGTCGACAGGAGCCAATCAAAATGCAGAAACTCACGTGTCTGGAGGCTGACAGCAGCACCCAGATCCACTAGCAGCCATGTCCCAGGCGAGAAACAACATTTTGGAGCTAACGGCTGAGCAGGGGGACCGGGGGTCGTGGGCCCCTTGGACACAACCCATTGTATGCCATCAGCAAACGGAAGAGCAAAACAAACGCATGTCGAGCACAGTTTTGGCCATGCAGAAGCGGGTTTTGCCTAATTGACTGCTCAGGAATGCACTTGTAAGGAAATCACTTACACGGAGCTCGGCGGCCCGGAGTGGCCTTGTCGGAGCAGTCCGGCCTTGATATCGCGACTTTTCTCGAGCCCCGTCTGTCGGAGGCATACAAAAAAGATCAGATATAAACGAATCATATCAAATTTACCGCGGAAGCAGTTGGAAGTAAATTTTAAGGCGTTGTGGTGGTAAAACGGTGCTCCTCCGGGTGCGATCCCGAGGAGGTGATTGACGAAAAACAGCCTACCCGTCAAGGCCGGACGGTGCACATGACATATATGAGGATAAATCGACGAAACTGGAGTCTTTTCGGTCACTTGAGTGCTCAATCGATTGCTCCGGCGGCGACGAGTGCAACGAGTACAAAATCGTGGGTGGCCGACGCGGGTGTGGGATTCCCGAGGTGGACGGAGTCGTGGCGGGTGGAGGAGGGTGAGGAGGCCTGGTGAGCAGCGCTCTGGGAGATGGGATGCGGAGGCACCGTGGGCCGAACGGGCCAAGCGGGCGTGGGCCAGGACCGCTTTTACTGGCGCTCTTCGTCTTTTTCCCTTTTCCTTTCCCTCCCCAAGCTCACCACTCCTCTTCCCACCTTTTTGTTTTTTTCCCTCGACGTTTCACCCACGACTCGCAGGCTGCGCGTTTCCTCCATTAGCCCGCGACCACAACCACCCTCAACATCGCCATTTGCAACCACATCTACCGCCCTGACACGTCTTGTTCGACCCGCACCGCGTCCGCCAACTCGCGTGTAAGTGCACCGCCGAACCCGCTCTCCCCTGCCCGACACCTCGACCGCGCCTCCGCCCCCTCCGGCCGCGACCACAACAACCCGCCACGACCAGCACGACGCGCCGCTATCGACCGGCAGATGCTTCTCGAGAGTCTCTAACACCACTTACACCGGTTCAAGAGAAGGAAGGCTGCAATACAGCCTCGTTGCGCATTCGGACCTCGACTTTTGGACCATGCCATTGTAGCCCACCGCCACCATGGTATGGACCCCGTACGCGCCCCGAGGGAGCGCGCGCCGCTGACTTGCAATTCAGGTCTTATTCAAGCGCAAACCGGTGCAGTTCTTGCCGCCCAAGGACATCAAGGATGACAATGCAGAGGTTCGAAAATTGAACTTCACGGACGATGCGACGAATACTGATGTAAGCCCTCAGGTCTGGCACATACCGCAGACCGGTGAAGTCTTCGCCCATTATGAAGACTATTTAACCAGGTGAGCTCCCCGTTTTTGCGTTCTGGTGGGTGTTCCGAGCTAACTCGGTGAAGAATGGATTTCTACAAACAGGTATGTTTAGTCTAGGTGGGGCTATGGGCCAAGACTCGCTCACACCGCATAGCGCCGATTCATTTGCCAGATCACAGGGCACTCTGGCTTGACGTTTTTCGAAGCTCTCAAGAGCGAGGTTTGTGCTAAGACGTCATCCCCACACCAAGACACTAACACGCGATAGCTTGCTGGCGCCGAAGAAGTCGAGCAAGCCTTCCCCGAAGCCCTCAAGGGCCCGGTGCTGCGACGCGTACAATTCCAAACGGTCTCTCGAATTGATACCCTGGTAGACATGGTTTTTGAAGAGTTCAGGGCGGACTACTACCCTGGCGAAGCAGTCACGGTCAGCACGGCAGACGGAGAGAGGTTGCAGGGCGTTGTCAGAGAAAAGACCCGGTTTGGAGGCAAGGTACTACCCGACGGCACCTTGACACCTCCCTACACTAGATACACGGTCAGCCTCGACGAGAGACCCGGCGCCGAAGCTGTGGTTGACGACGACCACATCTGGCGCGATCGCAAGATCTTCACAAAGTCGGTCCTACGCTCTTTCATAAAGAAGACGGTGACGCGCGAGGCATGGAATGGCGCCCCGTGGCTCGTCAAGCAGGACTATGCGGCACAATATCACATCGACTCTCGGGTCCCGGCTCACCTGCGCTACGATACGAAGTTGATGGAGCGGAAGCAGATCCAAGCACAGAAGCGAGCAAACCAGCCGCACGGCCAAGAGGCAAACGGAGCAAACGGTGTAAACGGAGCTATGCAGAACGGGCCGGCTAGGTTACCAGAACTGAAACCTGCACCAAAGAACCAGAAGGGCAAGCTGCAGCACCAATCTCCGGATTTCGACGGCAAGGGTTCGCAGGGCATGCTTGCTGGACATGAAGGCGTATTTCAGGCGCCTCCTCATAAGAATCCCTTCCAGCTCCCCCTCAACTTCAGGAACCAACAAATGCAGCACCCCATGGCTGCCCCCGAAGTGCCCCCACCGCCTCCGCCGCCAAAATACCCCATCGAAGATTTGCAGGTACCGATGCGGGAGGGTGTTGTCAGACCGCCGCTGTCGTTCTTCTGCAAGGACCCTCCGGCCGAGACCGATGACGCCACCAAGGGCAGCGCTGGCCTGCAGGACAAGATTTCGATGGAGTCAGTCGGCTTGTTCCTGGAGACATGGGACACGCTCAACGTCTATTGCGAGATTTTCAAGCTGGATTCATTTACGTTTGATGATTTTGTTGAAGCGATGTGCGCTGCATCCGAAGAGACGACGATCCAGCTGTTTGAAGAGATTCACTGCGCCGTTTTGAAACAGCTCGTCAGCGCTGAGGCAGACGGTGGCAAGGTCAACGTGCCACTGCCGGAGGTCGAGGAGGAGGATGATTCTGAGGAGGAAGAGGAAGAGGAAGAAAAGGAGCCCACACCTGAACCTGACAGGCCGCCTGCTAGAGCCACTAGAAGCAGTCTGGCGAGGGCCGAGGCCGAGAGACTGGCTGCTGAGGCGAGGGCCGCTGAGAAGGAGAGCGAAAACGTGGAGCCCGAAATCAAGCATCGCGCAGACGAGGTTCTCGAGGACTACGACTGGATTGAAGAACTTCGAAAGCGAAACTTCGCGAATGGCGGCTGGGAGAGAATCATCGTTGGTCTGCTTCATCAGCTGTCGAAGGACGAACGGCACGAGAAACAATGCGAAGACCTTCTCGCACAGATCGTTCCCCCGGAGGTGGAGCAACCCACGCAGGACACCGTCAGGGAACAGTACGCCAATCTCGACGTCAACCTTCGCGTCCAGGCACTGCAAATCATCTGCTTGCTTACCACCAGAACCAAGGCCATGCGCACGTACATGGAGGAGTGCAGCGAACAGATGACTGCTTTCCGCAAGGAGAAGATTGACTGGCAGCGTCAGAGGAAACAAGCGTTAGTTACGTCAACCCCGTCTCACCTGAGAGTGCTAACAACCCGCCAGACTTGAGGAGCTGCGTGTCCTTAACGACCAGCGCAAGATCTTGTTGCCCGACAACATGCCACCGTCGCCGCCTCCTGAAGCAGAAAAGCAGGATGAGGACGTCAAGATGGCCGATGCTGATGACTCAATCGCGGATGCCGAGGATGAAGTTGCCGACTCCGAGGAAGAGGGCGCTCCCCGCAGAAACATCCGCCGTGCCAACGACCGTGCTGCTGAGAGGCAGCGCAAGCGCGAAGAAGAAAAGAAGCGCAAAGAGAAGGCCGAGGCCGCGAAGGTGCCCAAGCAATCGAAACAATTCATCAAGGTCCTCAAGGATATCACCAAGAAGGAGGAGTTCATCAAGAAGTGTGAAGAGGAAATTGCCGTCATCGACAACGACCTTCGCGAAGCAGACTGCGGTCGAACCAGAGTGCTCGGCAAGGATCGATTCTGGAACAGGTACTACTGGTTTGAGCGGAACGGAATGCCCTACGGTGGGCTTCCAGACAGCTCTACAGCTGCCGCCGAATACGCCAACGGCTGCATATGGGTTCAAGGACCTGACGACCTGGAACGCGAGGGCTACATCGACACCGATCCCGAGTACCAGGCCGAGTACAAGACCAAATTCGACATGACTGTTCCGGAACGCAAAAAGCTGGAAGAGGGTACTACTAGCGTTTACAACGCGCGTCAGTGGGGCTTCTACAGCGAGCCGGAGCACGTTGACGAGCTCCTGAAGTGGCTCGATCCTCGCGGATTCAACGAGCTGCGGCTCAGGAAAGAGATTGTGGCCTTCAAGGACAAGATCGTAAAGCACATGGAAAACCGAAAGAAGTACCTCGCCAGCGCAGAGCCCGAGGAGAAGGAGGAGAAGAAGGAGAAGAGGAGAGACTCCAAGCGGATGAGTACAAGGGGCCGCCATCATGAGCCGACGCCTGAACCGACGAATTACCGCTGCCTATCTTGGGAGAACACCACAGCTATGGAGGAACTGGGCCACCTCCATTCTGAGCCCCCTCCTCCCCCAAGACCCAGGAAGCAGACGACAAAGAAGAGACAGGCCGTCGAGCCCTCTCCCTCTCCCGAGCCGGCGCCGAAGACAAGACGGCGCAAGTAAACGACACGAACACAAAGCAGTCACGGCCTGATGGCCGTGTGATGCTGCCTGGCATTCACTGTAATTACTAGACGTGGCCTGTAACGACTCAGCAGAGCCATCGGTATGGGCTGATCTTGCTCAGCACCGGCTTTTCGGGGCTTGTTTTTGGAGCTCTTGCGAGCTTTGTTTTACGGACCTGGCAAAACATAAACTTTGGTGTTCCGGTAACTGAAAAGAAGAAATCTGACGAATGTCCACCACCATTGGGGGACAAGTCGAATTGTTTGCAGCATGGCTGGCGGGTGAAGGAACTTTTCAAAGCATTTGGCTGGCGGGTTGGATGGCGTGCGTGGTTTGCATTAGCTACATGGGCTTGGGTTATAGACTCTCCAAAAAGAAATTCACGGATTATTGTTATGGATGCGCAGACTTGGAACGCGTGTGATGATATTTGTTCTTGGGGAAGGTTTCCCCCGTTCATGGTCTGGCAGATCCAAGGATGACGATGCTTCATGCCGTATGCTGAAGATATTCCATCAAACCGACGAGATGCCGGGAGAGGTCATGGCTACGATGTCGTCTAGTCTAGACAAGATTTCCAAATCTTAGGAAGACGTTGACGATGTACTCGAATACGACTCGACAGACGATATTTCGCATCGTGAATCGATGCCAGTGCATCGGAAGTTGCTTGGATTGGTTCTTTCCCTGCCCCACGTACTTGAGGTCGTTGCAGCTTCAACTCGAGGCAACTACCGAGTGGCATCACTTCTTCCATTGCGTCAAGTGTGTCTGCCATTCGTCAGGCGATTAGAAGGTCGAAATTCGTCCTGTCCTTCACAACCAAGTGGCTGCCAGCTTCGGCTCCTGACCGAGAATACACAGCAGGCAACTCCACAGGTGAAGCTGCGTGAGTTGCTAATGCCGGCACAAATCACAATGAAGAAAAGGCTGCGTTGTAGCCCATCCTTCCCTGACAACTAGGGGCAGCTGCCGTTATGTAGCAAGAGGAGAGGCACGCCGTGCTGCTCCCAACACCGGCAACCACGGGGCAAGACTAGCAACGGCAACTGGACTGGACCGCCGTTCTGACGACTTCCAGGCTCCCTCGTCTGACGGAAACCTCAATTCTACTCCAACGACAACAACACCTCTCCCACATCCATCTACGCCCGTCTCAATTTTGGCTGCACTACCACATTCTTCTTCTCAGCAGTTTGATACTTCAACTTACCGGCTTATCATCGTCCGATTCGCTGCATACCCATAACATCGCCATACTCTTCCCACCATGGCTGGCTCCAGTACCACCGCGACACCCCCGAATGTTGACTGGGAAACATGGTCTATAGGCCACAAGATCTTCCATGAGCAGCGCTGGCAACAGATTCTGGATAGCCAGGATGAAGACTTTAAACGCGCCAACCTCAGATTCCTGAGACTAGAGGTGTCTTCCACGGACACGTCTGACCTTTTCCATTTAGCGACAAAGGTCACTGGTGACTTGAGAAAATACGTGCAATACATCTGGCTGAACATAGCATTCCATGAATGCAAAGGTGAACGCCAGCCTGATGAGGCGGAACCAGATGATAAGGCGGAACCTGATGACGAGGCGGAATCAGACGATGAGGCGGAACCAGACGATGAGACGGAATCAGACGATGAGACGGACAGACGGCACAAGAAAGTGTTGAGAGAAGCCATCCTACAGCTTTTTCGCGCCTTGGAAGATTGGAAAGCGCCCGGTCCAAACGGAAAAGGCATTGCGATCGAACTTAGCGCACAGTCGTTTTCTTACAAGGCGCACTTCAACTTCGACAAGTCATATTTTGGGTCGCGTGACGAAGTAGGGGCTCAACTAGACCCTGAAGTTGGACATCAGGAGCTTGACAAATCGGCTTTTCCGGACTACACGAAGCGTATTCACAAAAATATGACTTTCCGTTTTCCTCTGAAGGATTTTCCTACGCTTCCAGCAGTCACCAAGTTCGTACTCCGCAGACAGTTCCGTCACAGCCTGATGTGCCCGCCAGAAGATTGCAAATACAAACATAAATGGGGATTAAGACCCATCTTAAGGAGGTTGCCCAACCTTGAGTCTCTGGTTTTCGAGCCATGGCGTGCGTGGAATGATGAGCACCAGCGCCTTTGCGATCGAGGTAAGTACGCAGTATTCACATGAGACTCAGGCCAAAGCTTGGACGACAGCAAGGACGACAGCAAGGACGACAGCAAGGACGACAGCAAGGACGACAGCAAGGACAACAGCAAGGACGACCAAGGATGACTGCAAGGACGACAGCAAGGACTCAAGTTCATGCATTATCCCATTCATCACTGACTTTTATCGTTTAGAAGACGGTTTGTTACTGTCGAAGCTGCCAGAAACAATCACAGACGTATCTGTGTATGAGGACAACAACGAGTCCTACGCCCAGAGGATTGCCGGTGTTGACCGCCTTCTTCGTGTCCCCAACGCTTCCCTCGGAATACAGCTTGCTGAGGCAAGCCAAAATCTCACAAAATTATCCGTCGCATTCATGGTCGAAGCTGAAGACTTTTTTGACGAGTGCTGCGGAAAAGAGGCCTTCCGATGGCCACATCTGGACTCTCTTGCACTGACGTCGCGGCTACTCGCACGCGACGATGACAAGGCGATATTGGAGATGCTGAAGAAGGCCGCAAGGGTTGCTGAACGCATGGTTAACCTCAAAACTATGGCGATATGGTTTGGCACCGAACATACAGCTTGTTGTTTCGCATACCACCTACGCAGCGGACACAGTCGCATTACCTGGCAAGGCACTAAGTCTTTGGTAGATGATACCAAGCTGATTCGGCTCTGGACAATTGTAGCCTGGAAACAAGATGCCTCTTTCGACGGTTTCGTGCAGGAGGGTTTGTCGGACATAGGTTGGAAACTGAATAGTACATACTTTGCGGGCTTAGCAGGGCAGTTGAACTCAGCTCGGGAGCTCAAATCTCATGGGCATGCGGCGTTCCTCTTTGGGGATACCTTGCCCGCCGATGTCATTGATCCGCTCTCTCTGTGGCAGATGCAGCAGGAAGCTCGCGTGTTGTGAGCGTTTCCATGTACGTTAGGGGGCGGACTTAGCACAGAATGATTGTTATGGGTTTTGCTAGCCAGGCAGTGTGCCAGTTGGCTATCCGGGCAGTGTCCACACACGCGTATATCCTCGTAAAGCGACTATGTTTCCTTTTGTCGTCGTCGTCGTCGTCGTCGTCGTCGTCGTCATTCTCATCCTCTACCACTGTTATTTCTTTTCGCTACCCCTATTGTTTCTCTACTGCTGTCGTCGTCCCTGCTGGGACTTTCATCGTTCATTGTCCTTCCTGTTACGTTTGTCTTCGGTGTCGTCGTTTCCATTATCTACATCGTTCTCACCCACATAGGTAGCAAGGCTCTTTTGTAGACTTGATGACTTTGGCGGCACTCCCAATCGTCGAGCAAGCAAATGTTGGATTCAACCAGCGTTATCAGCATGTCTTGTCAATTATGTAATCGTTGGAAACTAAGCCTCGCCATCACAACCGCTCAATCGCAACCCAACAAGCAGCGCATACCATCTCAGCAACGCTCGCCCAAAAGCCACACACGACGCTCCCCCCCCCCCCCCCCACNCCCCCCCCCCCCCCCCCAAATCATCATCCGTCTACAACAGAAGAAAAGAAGCAGAGAGGTCTAGGCCTTGCCATTGATGACCCTCAACAGCTCCTCGCCCTTGGGCGCCCCGGTCGAGAGGTTCTCGTAGCCGTCGTCCGTGACGAGGATGTCGTCCTCGATGCGCACGCCGCCGACACGGTAGTACTTTTCCAGCACGGCCTTGTTGATGAAGCGCGCGTGGCGGGGGTTGCTGAGAAAGTAGCCCTCGATGTATTCCCTGCAAAAGTACCTGTATTCCTCGCGTTAGCATTGTTTCACAGTCTCGGATGTCGTTGGGGATGGCGAGACTTACACGCCCGGCTCGACGGTGACGATCATGTTCTTCTTCAGGTACTGCCGGCCCATGTACGGCGGGCGTACCGACGCGGCGGCGGCCGTGGCCCGCGCCATGGCGCCCATCATCTCCGGCGTGATGATCTCCCGCTTGCCCACGCGCCCGCCGGCGCCGCCGCCCATGGCGTTGTTTAGCAGGAGGAGCCGCTCCCTGCCCGAGACGTCGTGCACCTCGAGGCCGACGTGGTGGCCCAGGCCGTGGGGGAAGAAGGCGGCGACGGTGCCGGCGTCCCAGACCTCGGCGGGGTCGCCCCTGAGCACGCCGAGGGCGAGCAGGCCCTCCTGGGCGACCTGGCTGGCGTGGATGTGCAGGTCGAAGAAGAGCGTGCCGGGGCGGATCATGGCGATGCACTCGTCCTGCATGCGCTCGACGATGTCGTGGATGGCTTTCGCCTCGGGGGAGAAGCGGCCCGGGATGGGGAGGGTGCGGGTGATGTCGCTGGCGTAGCAGCGCCACTCGCAGCCGGCGTCGAAAACGACGACGTCGCGGCCCTCGAGGGGTTCGTCGTTTGCGTCGTAGTGGAGGGTGCCCGCGTTGGGGCCGCTGCCGGCGATGATGGCGTAGGCCTGGTCGCGGGTGCCGGCGGTGGTGCAGCGGGCCTGGAAGATGGCCTCGATCTCGGCCTCGTTCTCGAGGTGGAGCAGGCGCTCCGCGACGCGGCGGTGGGCGGCGGCGGAGACGGCGTTGGCCTTGCGGATCATGGCGACCTCGTACTCGGTCTTGACGACGCGGGCCTGGTCGACGGCGGGCTGGAGGGAGGTGAGGTCGACGCGGACGTCGGCCATCTCGCGGAGGAACTCGCCCGAGAGAGGCACCTGGTCCGGGTGGATGACGTAGAGGGTCGACCCGGGGGCGAGGTGGCGGTAGAGGAACTTGTTGAGCTGGGTGGTGTAGCGGACGTCGTCGACGTCGAACTGCTTGAGGCACTCGGCGATGCCCGGGGTGCGGCCGAACCAGAGGACCTGGCGCGGCTCGACGTAGGGCACCCAGAGGATGAGGCGGTCCGAGGCGAGCTCGTAGGTGACGGCGCAGTCGGCGAAGTTGGCGCCGCTCAGGTAGTAGAAGCTATTCGCGGTGTTAGTCGGCACGAAGATCGAGAGTTGGGGGTGGCTTTACTATCGTCGCTGCCTGAAGGCCGGGCCCATGTCCGAGTCTTCGTATTCCCGGCTTGGCTCGCCGGGGAGGAAGATGAGGCCATCGCTAACGTTGAGCTCGGCGGCGACCTTGCGGGCGTGGAGTTTGGCTTCACGGTGTTAGTCTCTAGTCTTTGGTTATATTGACGATGAAACACAGTCATTTCCACGGGCCTCCCCATAGGCTCACATAACATCACGGCAAAGACACTTTTTCACAATCAACATCAAAACGGAAACTTGCATACCGGGATACTTGGCCGGGATCGGCGCGACAGAGTTGACAGACTCGACCGTCGGTGAAGTCTTCACCTCGATAGCCCTTCACCGAAGCACAAAACGCAAATCAGTAAACATTACTCATCAGACGGTGTGAACAGGCAAGAGAATTAGAGCGAGCGAGTGAGTGATGTGAAGGGGTGTGTGTGTGCGTGCGAGCGAGCAAACGCGGGCTCGGCAGGAAGCTCGTTCTGGCATCTCGGGATGGCCGAAGAGGAGCTGCGTGGTGTCTCTCGCCTCCATCGCCAAGGCTCGAGTTCCCGGATTCGACAGAAGGAGATGGAAGTGAACGCGCAATGCTTTCTCCACCTACAGAGCATCAAACTCATCCACCACCACGACATCGTGATCAACGGCGCTCTCCATCGTCATGGTTGCTTCTTTGGCAATGCTGTGCCGTGTCTTGGGTCGTGAGTTAAAGGCGGGGGTCCCTAGTGTTGTGGTGATGGGCGGTGGGTGGTGGTTGGTTCGGCAAGGCGGTCTGACGACGACTGAGTTCCCGCCCAAGAGGCTCTAGAACGTCCCGCGATGGGCCAAGGCAGAGGAAACGCAGATGCGGCTAGGATTAAGGTAAGGTACAAGGTTTGGGTCTTGGGGTAAGGTAAGGCAAGGCAAGGCCAAGGCAGGTTTAGTTGGGCTGGGTATGCAGATGTGACGGGACCTCTGGGTGCGTGCCGCTGCGGCTCTGTGGTTCACTGGTTCAGCCCAATAGGCGATGCGGCTCGTGAAGAGTGGTTTGTGCTGGATGGGGGTGGCGTTTACGTGGCGTCGCGTGCCAAGACTTTCCCGAGCGGTACCGCATCGGTGCACTGTAAGGTAGGGCAAAGTACTCCGTACCCGCAGCGTGGGTTCGGACAACAGCCGCGGGCAGGCTACCTACCTATTAGAGGCTAAATCAGGTCTCGGTTGCAAGGCGAAACCTGGGGATTGGTCGATCGGTGTCGTTTGTTTGGTGGAGGGGCACTGCGCAGGAAGGGTTGGAGAAGGAAGGAGGGGCCGGAATGACGATGACACTGGAGCGTGCGTGCATGTGTCGTCGTCGTTGTCTTCGGCAGGTAAGGTAGGGAACAGGTCGAACCGGCGGCGGCGGTATGCGATGTGTGGTGTGTGGCTCCCGGGTCGTCCCCGTCGTTCTGCGTTGGCGCAAGTTCCGCTCTTCGGTGCCTCCGAGAGGTGACGACGGCACGGGGGCGTCTGTTCGGTGTTGCGGGATTACGGAGTCTGACTAAAACGCCTTGAAGCGTCGCTACGAGCAGAAAAGTGGCCCGGATCGACGAACTCAGGGTTCCTCTGCTCTTGCTGTGAGGAGATGCAGCATGACAAACAACCGTCCCGTGATAGGACGGCCCGTCTTTGAGAAAGAGGGCCCGGCGCGCGAGATTCCCATCGTCCGCGGTGGCCCGTCACGACTCACCGGTGGACCGCCCTTCGTTCAGCCCAGTGCGCGCCGTCGCCCGCCATTCCTTACAAGCGCCCCATCGAAAAGAACATGCAAGAGAAGGAAGGGGGCCGACTTCGGTGCCGAAACGGCCTGCCGCTGCGAGCTGCATGCTGATAAGGATTTAGCGGAGATATCATACCCACCGCGCTACGCCCAGCCAGAGTCCACTGTAGGTCGTCTTTGGTGTGGACCGGGGACGGTTCCTGTGGGAAAAAAGCGCCGCGATCCAATCACTGCCAATGTCCAGCTTCACCAGTGTTGTATGTATCCCTCCTCCGGTACGAATACATACCGCAGTACAGTGCCCCTCTCTACTTACCTACCTAGTAACACCCTTGATCCCCTGGATTTGCAGCGGCGGAAGGTACCGTTCGAACGACTCCCCCCCCCCCCCCCCCCCCCCCCCCCCCCCCCCCCCCCCCCCCCCCCCCNCCCTTCGAACCCCCCCCCCCCCCCCCCCCTGCTGCTCACCTCACCATCTCCATCGGGGTCACACTGTGTGCTTGCAAACTTGTCTCTCAAGGTCCCGCGAGGAGGGGAACGAAGAACTTCGAAGACCTCAATACGGTGAGCCTTCATCGTAGGCAGCGACCGACGGGACCCGACCTAGGAAGGTGGGCAGAACATTCAACACGTTAACGCTTCAGCGTCCGGATGGAGGGCCGCGGTACGGGTACTCTGTCACACATCTTTTTCCTCTCCTCGACGGATACAACGCTCTGGAAACAAGCGGCCAACGGTTCCCGCCTCTTACTCCTCTCGCATCAGCCCCGTCGTTCGTTTCCCTGAATCCCGCATGACTCCTGCTCCAAACCCGATACGAGTAGCGAAGAAAGGTACTTGCTTGTACCTAGATTAGTATCCCGCCCCCAAATGTCGAGGCGTTGGGGAACCGCTTTTATTGCCAAAAAAGCCAAGATCGCGAGAGAACAGTGAACACACACACGCCCACCCACCCCTGCCTGGTAAACCCGTCAATCGCGCCATGCCTTACCGATACCAACCCCCTCCCTCTCCTCCACTGGACAGGCTGAACGTAACGTACCTCGGCGCCCTGTAGGTCAAAAGCCTTGGCCTGTAGCTGCGATGCGATGCCATGCCATGCAATGCACGCCGAGCTGCACTCCATTCTATCACCTACGTAGTGTAGTGTAATGTGCCTGGGGAGAGACCGTTTGTGTCGCAAGTGGTCCCTGGAGAGCACTTTTGTT